GCTATCCAGGTAGTTCGGTATTACAGGTGGACCTAAAGATTTAGCTGTCCAGGTGACATCACAAGAGCCGGTCATTCGTACAGCCCACACCACAGTTTCTTTGCTCTCCTCCCTCGCCTGAGCAAGAATAGGTAAAATTAATTTAACTTAATAACATCTTTTTTTTTAGCTTTGTAGAAAAAAGTTAGTTTTTATATCAGGGGAGAGAAAAAAAGAGGCTAGTGAAAGCTATTTCCCATGGTTTTACACAGTTTTACACATATAAAAACATCCCACCCCAATCTATGTACCTCCTACACCTATCACTAACTTTCACCCTTTACATACACTTACCACAAGAAGTGTTGATGGTATCACGGAGTTCTGCATATTTCCATTTACTCAGATCATATTTCTTGGTTCCAGCAGCTGCCTTGGTGGCTTGTACAGCAGGACCTCTGTAATTATTACATATTTTTGCATTTTTAAACCAGAAACATGAAGGAAACATTAACTAGAGAGGCAAGAAAGTTTGCCAAGGTGAGAACTGGAAACGGCAACTAGAAAAATGGAGAACTTTTGTGTCTCTGACAGATGAGAGATGAACACTGGAGTACTTAAACTGAAATTTCCCAGCAAGCTACTTGCTAGCTATATTCCATTTTAAATTCTAATATCCTATAACCACAGACTTCGCCCAGACTTCAGTTTAGATGTTTATACTGATGGATACATGAACATCCAAAGTTAAAAAATACAGACATTCCTCAAAATCGAAAAAGAAACCCTCAGCACACTTAAAAGGTCATTGGCAGCACAGTAACTTAATTGTTTATAAGCCGTGAGCCACACAGGCAGTCACCGGCAAGGAACGAGGAAAGCTGCACGTGGACCAACTCCACCCACATCCTGGCTCTGCCATCTCCCCAGCATCAGGATGTCACAAGGTGCACAGGTGAACGGCCACACTGCAGCCCACTGCATTTGAGGCCCTCGGATCCTGGAAAGCCTCTCACTTTTCAGGTTCCACTGTTAAGTACAACACTTAGAAAAGTTCTGCAAGCGGACAAAACCTCGCTCTCATATTATAATGAGTTATGACTCCTTAATTAACGGAAGAGGTTTTAGCTCATGACATAGATGACAGAGACTTCAATGGGCACAAGAGTTGTATCATACCCCATTTACTAGGAACATTGTATAGGAAAGGAAAAAAGATTTAAAGCACTCAATAAAATGGGATAAATTGAGCCTTGTCATCATAGTGCTACTCAGGGCTTAAGACATGCGTTTATTTTGCACATAATTTGAGATTACTCAGAAAATATAGAACAAATTATTTTCTGTAATAAGGGAATGTTGTTATTATTATTTGGGGGGGTGGGGCCAGATTCGAACCCCACACTTCTGGTATACGGGGCTGGCACCCTACTCCTTTGAGCCACAGGTGCTGCCCTGGAATGCTATTTTTCAGCAAAAGATTATACTTGTGCCAGGCATGGTAGCTCATGCCTATAATCCTAGCACTTTGAGAGGCCAAGGTGGGTGGACTGCCTGAGGACACAGGTTTGAGACCAGCCTGAGCAAGAGCAAGACCTTGTCTCTAAAAATAAAAGAACGCTGTGACAGGCTCCTGTAGTTCCAGCTACTTGGGAGGCTGAGGCAAGAGAATTGCTTAAGCCCAAAAGTTTGAGGTTGCTGTGAGCTGTGATGCCCTGGCACTCTACTGAGGACGACATAGTGAGAGACTCTACCTCAAAAAAAAAAAAAAAATTATACTTGCACAGCGAGGACACTGAGAATAAGCCATATGACTTTAAGTTCGATGTAACAAAGGGCGTTAAAACACGTCACATTTCAGGACATGTAAAGAAGTTGGCACAGATGTTAAAATAGCTAATATTAAAGAACTAAAATATTGTTTCTCAGGTATCACAAGAGAAAATGCAGCTTCATCACCTGCTCCTGGGAACATGCATGGTGCTTCCTCTGAGAGAGGCACACCAAGCTCTAACGCCCACGAGCGGCTCCGAGTCCTCAATATTTCCCCAGTTTGGATCATTTACCGTTACATCCCGGCAGGCCGTCAGGACACAGACAAGGCTGATGTTACCGAAAGGGATGTCTGAAAATGCTACCTTCTTCGTGAAGTAAAGGAAATTACCCTTTCAATATTAAATGTAACAAATAAATGAGGCACCTTGCCTCTTTAAAGGGCCTACCTCCGCTTTCAGGCATTACCCACCCACATACTTCAAACTGTGTGCGAGGGTGCTTCTTAGTTACACGTAAGGCCGGCTACAGAATAATGTGTGGCCCCTTAGTCTTCCCTGTATTTTTCATGATTGAAATCCGTTTGAGGTCTGTCATAGAATCTTACACTCTCATGAGCTATGTGGCAACTTTCCACGCAGCTTCTTGTTCCTAACTGCTTTACTCAAAAGGAGCCAGCTGTGTGCCAGCAAGGTCTATTATCCTTAACAAAAAAATTATGCTCTAACACTCACTGCAATATTCTTTTTCTTTTCTAAATCCCTAAGCCACAATGAATCAAAAGAAAACAAATTCTCTTTTGTTCTAGCCCTTCCTGGAGGCTTTTCTAGGAGGGAAGCTGAACATTATTATGTATTTTGTTGCTGCCTTGTTTTCTTTTGAAAGGGAAGGTAAATTTACATAATATACAGTCTTATAGAGTGTCAGAATGTACCTGAGGTTTTAGAATATACATAAGGTGTGTTTTGATTCTTTTTTAAAAATAACATTATGTTTAAGTAATTATTGCCTACAGTATGGTTTTCATATCACTAATTTTTCATTCGTATTACCTCAAACAAAAATACATCTGCTTAAAAAACACAGCCAGCATCCAAAGTAATGAATAAAACACATTGAAAGGCTTCTCTCCCCCACTTCTGGATTATTGAAACAGTACAACGAAGACATAATTTACTGATTATTTAGACTCACTATAAAGACAATCATGTAAATAATCCAGCAATGTAGTAACAAAACTGACTTGATTTTTAAAAATACAGTAACACCTTGTATTAACTTTATACCTTCAAAACTGAGAATTAACATGTTATATTCCTATCAACTTACAAAGTAAAGGACCAGATCCTGCTCTCAAAGTTACATTCTTTGGTGGCTCAATCTACACCAGTGTTTTTTCAGCCATGCTCTAGGGCTCAGCGGCCCTGGGGAGCCATGCTCTCCCTCTCTCCCCTTCAACTAGGCCCAGTGGTTCCCAGACGAGGGGCAACACTCCAGCCTGTTGATACAGGGAAGGACCCCCCACTAAGGCTGAGTTGGGGGAGGCAGCACCAGCAAGGAACTCTCCCAGCCAGACGCCAGTGGTACCCACACTGAGAAAAGCCAGTTTATAGAAACATTGCTTTTTATCTTTTTTCCTGTGTTGGGCAGGGTAAAGGGGACATGGTATTTCTTGTACAGAAAACTCACATGGAAAGAGCAGACTATTCTTGTGACACAGCGGTTCTCAACCCATGGGTGGCGACCCAAAGGAACTGTATTAAAGGGCGGCAGCATTAGGAAGGTTGAGAACCATTGTTGTAGCAGGATCTGGTCCAAATAATCAAAAGTAATTTAAAAACATGATTTTGAGGTGAACACTCATTTCCCCACATCACACTGCACTAACCTACTCAACAATTCTGACATTTCCTTGGCCATTTGTTCCCTATAAGAAAAATGATAATACAACACCGTTATAAAATAAAAGACACAGTATATAAATTACTCTTAAGATCTAAAAGCATAATTAAAATATTTTCAATATGATTACTGACTCATTAACCATTCACAATTATATAGATTTACAAATATCTACATATACTTTTCAACAAGTCTATCCATACACACAACAAAAATTTGTTTAAATCCAGTTATAGTTATTTGAACACATCTCCATTTTTGCAGTAGCAACTTTTAAATAAAATCTCCTGAAAGCTATGCTACTAGGATGTTTTTCTGTGCACAGAATACGAGTGGCAGGATATATAGACTCTTTATCAGGACTTTGCTCCAGAGTTGCTTAGTAAACGTTAATCAGACAAGGGATGGTGGTGAACTGGGCTGTTGTATTTTATAGTGTCAGAGTTTAAAAAAGAATCTGATGTGTTTAAAGCTCTAAAATTGTAATCAAAGCATGTTTTTTTAAAGAAGGGAACAGCAGTACAAGGACTTATTAAATGAAAGATCTGACGCATTCTGACCTTCTAATGATAAATTTCTACCAAAGGCAAAAACTTCTTTTTCTGCTAATATCCACAAAAGTATAACTTTTCTCAATATTTGGTTAAATCTGTAGAATAGTTTCATCGTGTTTAATGATCATTCTTTCCTTGCTCTTTCCTTCCTAATTTTTTTGCTTGGTTTTAATATCCTCAAAATTTTTCTGGGGGTGCAAATACTGCATGATTGAGAGGAGATCGCAGATGGCTCTATCCAGAACTTCACAAGGCCCGTTCACAAGGCCGTGGCATTTGAGTGCCCAACACAACCCTGCGGTACCAACGTGCCCGTGAAGCTACAGCCTTCACTGGGATTCTGTGTATCACAGAAGTATCTGATCGCTTCATTGTTCCCAATGCAGTTACGTGCAAGTACTTTCATATTAAAATAAATCAGTATGTTGTATTGCCTATCCTATTGTTTTTCCTTTTATATAAGTTGCATCATTTATGAAACACATTTTGCTGCTGGAGTCTGACCGAGTGGAAAACCGTTACTAGAAAGGTCACAGCTGCAGTCCTTCAAGCTGTGCAAAATTCAGATTTTGTATGTTCCAAAACTTATACGTATCTACACACAGCACACACAAAACATATGCAAAATGTACTTAATTTATATTCTGAATGTTACTTGGATTCTCTCTCTATGGGGAGGTTTCCAAAGAGGTACATTTGCACCAAAATTAACACTATAAAAATAACTTCAGCTTATGACTTGCTTTAGATATAATACAATGAACTATCGCATATATTGAAAACTCAGTATTTTATTTATCCTTATTACTTCCACATCTGATTCTATAAAGATGTAAGGTAAAAAGCAGTTAAAAACACGAAGTGGGTGCTATTTACACACAGACAGCAGAAAGAAGGAAACCAAATCATGAACTCCAGTGTTTAGGCACCAAACAAGAACATCAGACATTTTTTCCTGGGCAAAAAAAATGAAAAATTAAAGTGTTATTTCATCCTCTTTTAATAAAATAAATTAATTTGAAATTTGCTCCAATGAGGAAACTACTTCTCTCCCCAAACGACCCACAACGTATCACAGAAAGGCAAAGGGAAACAACATACGGCGTCATTTGGGGTCTTGTTCCACCACTTCTGTGAAAAGAACATATTTTAGTTAATATAACCAGTCTGGATTGTGACAATCTTGGCTGTGTGAATTTTGTTTCAATTTCTTTACTCATTGATTTTAAAAACGCAATCATCTTTAATCTACACGTAAGATCACTCCGAATTTTAATATATTTTTAAAATCTTCATTAGAATGATTAGGAAAAAATAAAGGCATCCAGTGAAAATTAGAGAGTATTACATAATACATCACATTTAGATTAGAACATTCATATATTGTGAGGTTAGTCTTTCATAGAATCTGCACAGTACTTTAGGTAATCTGGAACCTTCACTGAGCATCAAAGATCACATATATAATTGATTGAAATCGTATTTTAAAACATATCACACGTGTGGAAAACAGTTCTTACGCAGCAGTCACTGGGTGGGACTCCAAGCTGAAAAGGTAACTTAAAATGTAAATTGCAGCAGAATCAATCCTCATACATTTTTTAACACATCACCGAACTCAAGAACAACATTTATGCAATATATTAACTGGATCTATTAGTATAGAGTATAAATGTCTTAACACATTAATTAAGCAAACTAGATGAGGTATATATTAGCCAGTGTGATGTAAGTATTCCTAATTCTTTTTCTCTTCATTTTTTTTTGGCTGGGGCCAGGTTTGAACCTGCCACATCTGGTACGTGGGGCTGATGCCCTACTCACTGAGCCACAGGCACCACCCAGTATTCCTAATTCTATATGGAATCAGCACACTGTACCCCATAAATGCACTAATGTATACATGATCTATGTGTTTATGATTTAATTCTACTTATAAAATAAAATGGGTTTACTTAGCAAGTTCTCACACATGAATTTGTTATAGAACAAAATTCAGTGCTAACAAAAGTAAAATAAACACTTAAAAACATTCAGTGATAGCCCACAGAGTAACACTCAACTGCCAGACTTGGAAGTCAGGACAGTCTGTCACCCGTGCTGAAGTGCCAATGCTGCAGGACAGAGTGTGAAGTGACCAGCAAGGTCAGAAGGAGAGGCACACCAGGGGACCTGAGAGTCAGGGACAGCTTCCTGGAAGGGAGCTGACAGAAAGGATTTGAAGGGCACCCCGGAGGAGGGACACCACACACAGATCTGTCCCACAGGAGAAAGAGAACTAATCCTCTGCCTTCCAAGTCATAAGGGCACAACCACCTTCCAGGTACTTAACAGTGGTTCCATTACCTTGCTAATTCTGCTTAATTTAAATCACAGGTAACTGGTCATTTACATTAACAGTACTAAATAGTCTGTCTACTCTTCCTTGGAGACTACTCACCCTGGAAGAAGGGCACCCTTCTGAAGACAGGAAGGAGTCTGCACCTGAGCCAATGTCTTATGCACATTTCACGTAATGTCTTATGCACTAGACACAGCTGAGAATTTCAAATGCGTACACACAAAGCTTGGCAACTCCACTAACAAGCCCTTTATAAAGGGACTTCAGCCATGACAAAGCCAGCTCTGTCAACTCACAGACAGCAGGGACAGCAGCTGGGAGAGCTCAGTTCAGGTACACACAAAGGCTCCCAGACGTTCTGATAGAACACAAGTGGAAGGGATTGAGTCTGCATGTACAGAAGCCATAGCCAGGATAAAAAATTTAAAATACAGTAAAATGTTAATAAAGAGCCAAAATAGAGGACTCAAACCCAACAGATTAATAGTTATAATACACGTGTCTTTTGTCTGTATAACCTTATTCAGTTCATACACTAAACACTAATACTCTGATACACAATCAGATCCTAGCTCTCCCCAGTGCAGTCACTTTCCAGAAAAAGCGTGAAGACAGCTTAACACACCCTTTTCTCCTCTGTCTTTGTTTTTAGCTAAATAAAATCTGATCACTAACTTGCAACTGCAGCCTTTCCCAAGGACATAGCTCCTTCTAGTGGTAGTCCTTTAATTACATTTTGTCATGCACAGCTCTGAAGTTCTGAAAAGCCTGGTAGCAGAGACCTATGTGCCTCTCAGGATATGCACAACAGACACACCTACATAAAAATGAACCTCATATACTAGTTTTGTTTTGTTTTTAGAAGTAAACAATTAAACCAACTAATATTTACACATTCTAAGTGTTTAAAAAAATAATCTGTTATAGTAAACCTTTCTGCAACTTTTAATAAGAACCTCCATCTTCCTCCACAGTTTATTTATAATATTTAGGAAGAATCTGGAATCCTGAGAAGCCAATATATTTCAATGCATTTTATCTTCCTTTTTGGAAAGGGAAATCCATTTGTTCTGAGACACAGCAGGGTAAATTTCTCCTCATTCCAAGTGTGAGGGTGTATGAAACGTTCAGAATATTTTTTGCATTAGGAAAAAAATCTCAACCTCAAACATAACCAACTGCATTCAGTCTAGTCACTGTGCTAGTGTTTGGTGACAGGTGTGTAGAAATTAGGTGTCTACCTAACATACAATACTCTCAGACAATTTCAAAGTCAAAGTTGAAATGTTTTCTTAACAGGAACATTAATAAAATTGTACAGTTTTTTTGTTTTTTGTTTTGAGACAGGGTCCTGCTCTGTCACCTGGCCTAGTAGTATCTTCATAACTCACTGAAACCTTAAATTCCTGGGCTCAAGCAATCCTCCTGCCGCAGCCTCCCTAGTAGCTGAGACTACAGGCACCCACCACCACACCAGACTAGTTTTTTTCTATTTTTCTATTTTATAGAGACGGGGTCTCACTCTTGCTTAGGCTGATCTTGAACTCCTGGCCTCAAGCAATCTTCCCACCTTAGCCTCTCAAAGTACTGAGATTACAGGTATGAGCCACCATGCCCGGACCACAGTTTTATTTTTCAACAGTTTAACAATTTTGTGGAAAATCAACTGTTTCATTCTCTCAAGTATAAAAGCATATGCAAATAATTTTTAAATGATTTCATTTGAAATATATGTCAGGACCTGTGGAATCTGATTTTCTCCTGCTCCTTTTCAGACGGGATGTGAAGCAGAGAGGTGAATAAAGCAAAGTAGGGGGTGCTACACCCAGGGCCCAGTACCTGCGGAGCGCCGGGTCGGCCTGGGCCTCGTCACTGATGAGCTCGGCTTCACTCTGGGCGATCCTCAGGGCCAGCTCGCGGTCCCTCCGCTCCTGCTCCAGAACCGCCTGCTGCTGGGACTCCTCCTCCCGCTGTCTGGCCAGCTGGGCCTCCACTTCAGCCTGCAAGAAGAGAAAGGCATTTCACCAAGAGGTCTTCACTGTTGCACTGGAAGACTCTTGTGATTACTCAAAACACAGACAGCATAACTGTTCTGTACACGTTCTTCATTAAGGGATATGCAGTGTTTAGCCACAGATATCTTCAATCTGTATTTTCTCCTGTAACGATTAATGCTCCAAACATATCCCATTTTTCCTCATTCTGTGAAACTACAGACCCCAAACAATGAGTATCCTAGGTATCCCATTAACACCAACAATCAGACAGATGGAAACAGGAATTTAAAGTGCCGAGTATGAGGACAGTATGTTAAGAAAGTCGTGACAAAGAGAAAATAAAATGCACGATCGTGCCCTCTCAGACATGAGACTTATGAAAACTGGGTGTGGAGAGATTAACCGACTCCTTATCTATCAAATACTAGTATCTACAAAGTTATATCGCAATATTTTAAAACACAGTATTTTACAAGTGAATGTTCATTTGACTTTGCCCTAAATACAATAACAATACTAATATTTACTGAACTAAACACTATTCTAAATGCTTTGTGTTAATTCATTTAATGCTTGTATGACTATTATTTGCCCGACTCTACAGAGAGTAAACTCTGACCCACAGTTACTCATCATGACGTGTGAAATGTCACAACTTTGTCCGTAACACAGCCTGGGTTTGAACCCACTGCCCTACCTCCAAGGTCCCTTCCCATAACCACTTCAGAAACTGCCTTTTGCCTCTGGGATAAACCAGCGACAGCTTATCTAGCAAATAAACATCTCATTTTCACTTCTTTTGTAACTCTAGGATCCGACTTCAACAGAAAATCATGCCAGTGGGTATATATCCACCTGAATGCGCTTCTCATCATCCTCCCGTTTCTTTCTCTCTTCTTCTTCTTGTTTTCTCTTTGCTTCCATCTCAAGTTTCCTAACAAAAAATAAGAGAAAATAAGGAATCCTTCAGAAGGCAATTTAGCTATTAATAGGCAATAGATTAGGGACTCAAATTAATCCCCGAACCACATACATCATCAATTTATTCGAAATAAGACAAAATCTAACTCTACTGACAGTAATCCTACGTATATAAAACAAACACAATTACATTCTACAACTCTTAACATCTCTATAGAGATGAGCCTAACCCAGGCTGCCCTCGCTCCCTCTCCAAGTCACTCGCACTCCATCTCCGTAGTCTACAGCAATCTTCCAAAATGCTATCAGTTTTACATCTACAGAAAAGTAGAAGTGCCTTTTATCTAGCTTATAAATTAATGTGCAGGTCACAGCTTTAAAAAAGGAGAAATCGGCTTGGCGCCTGTGGCTCAAGCGGCTAAGGCGCCAGCCACATACACCTAAGGTGGCAGGTTCGAATCCCCAGCCCAGGCCCTCCAAACAACAATGACGGCTGCAGAAAAAAAAAGGAGAAATCCTCGGGTATGAGAAGTTAACCAAAATTCATATTACTGTTAAAAATGACATTAGGTTATCATTTGTCTAAAAGAAGCTAATTTTCTCAACTTTCGAACTTATTCCAAAATCAATTCATTAAAATAAGAGTACAGTTTTAAGAATAGTCATCAAGGACCACCCAAACCAGAGTCCGCCCCCTGCTGGGGGGAGGCCTTACATCCGCCTCTCCTCCTCCTCCTGCCGCCGCCGCTGCTCATCAGCTTCACGTCGTTTCCTCTCTCTCTCCATTTCCTCCTGGATGCGCCTCAGCCTTTCTGCTTCTTCTTCCTGCTGCTTCTTTTTCTGTAACGCACTGAGAAGATCCTCAGAGCTTCTGACCAGTGCGTCATATTCTCTCTGTATCTGGTCCCTGGTCATCATAGTGGACTTAAAAAGCAAACCAAGGAACGGGTGCTCAGAAACTCCTCTCTTGTGTCGCACAACAATGTGAACAGACTTAACAATCCTCACCTGAACACTGGGAAATGGCTACAATGACACCTCTGAATGTCTGTACCACAGTTCTAAAAAAATGCTCCAAAATGCATGCACACAGCAGAAACTGGGAAAGCTGTAAGCAGTAAGCCCTTTTACAAAAGCACTAATGAAAAATCTTTTTAGAAAGTTATCTCTGCGCAGTAGTATTTGACTCTATCTCCTATTGATCAACTAATTGGTATCTAAAGGTGTACTATGAACAGAGTAATATATTATAGTTAAAAATTATTTTTTAAGTAAAATTTGCGAATTCAGCCAAAGGTTACTAGTCTTTAATAATAATGTTCAAAGAGTACTTAAGGAATATTTAAGAAATTACTAAATACATCTTAGAGTGTTGGATGATTTTCCTAAGTTAGCCTTCAAAAAACGTGGCTGAGTTAATTTTCATTGATGATAATATCACATAAAAAGGGGTGGTCCTTGACGAGTCTATAACATCAGCCAGGTCTATCCAGAGCTTTTTTAATTCCTTTACTGATCTTTTTTCTCCTTTCTACATCCAAGATTTACCACTGTCTACATAAAATATCTGCAGAGAAAAGATGAAAAGCCCATTTTAAGGATTTACTACATTCTGAATAACTGTCCTGATGTAAGAAAAGCATTAAAACCCTAAAATATAATTGAGGAAAAGGTAAGGACAGACAGTTGAAATAAGGTTAACAAATGAGCATACAGAAAATATTCTAACACAATTAGTAATCATATGAGTAAAAATCAAAGAAGAGGACCCATTTTTTTCCTACAAAACTGGGGAGGAAATTATTTGCTACTTGCATAACAGTTAATTAAATTATGTTATGGCCTCTATGAAGATAATGTGTTAACAAGGACAGGGCACACAGCATAATGACAAAGGTATAAACTGAAGTGCATATTATGGTAAGAACTATGTACAATGTATGCATATGAGATTGTAAGGGAACTATGCAAGAATGTGCTAGTTGAATGTTAGCTCAAGAGTTTTGTCAATTCTCTTTAAATGTTCAATATTGCATTACTTTTATAATTTAAAAATTAGTTTCTAAAAATAGAAAAGCATGAAACAAATAAAAAAATTATTTGCATTAACCCTAAGTCATGATTTATGCAAAAGCTCACCAACATAATATAGCACTTTAGTTGCTCTTCTGAGAACAGACCTATTTTTCCTATCAACAAATAAAATTGCATAAAAATTGTCTTCTTGGGCAGCGTCTGTGGCTCAAAGAAGTCGAGCACCAGCCCCATATGCCAGAGGTGGCAGGTTCACCCAGCCTCAGCCAAAAACTGCCAAAAAAATTGTCTTCTTTAACATTTTGCTATGAATTATTCAAATGTAGGGAAGAGTTGATAATATGATGAATATCCATATCCACTTGCCATCATTGACATTTGACACTCATTAACTTTGAAAATTAAGAACATTTTCTGTACAATTTCAATATCAATAACAAAAGATATTAAATTATAATAAAAAGCCAAAGTCACTTGAGTTAAAATTACATACCTTAATTTTGGCCATCAAAGTATCAATAGAAATTTCAAGATTCTTGATCTGTTTATTCATCTCTGGTTTTCCATCTTTCAATGCACTCACAACTTCATTAAACTTATCAAGTCGCTTTTTCAGTGTGCCCACCTTAACCAGGCCATCAATGCTGCACAGATTATAGTTCATCAGAGTTTAATTTCACCATTTAATGCTTTAGGTAGAGTTTTCATTTATAAAGTACTAATCACATATTGCTGAGCAGAAAATTTCACTTTTGTTTTCAATATTATTTAGAATTCTCTTTTTCAGATCTCTTGTTGAGGGTTAAAATAATCAAATGTGGGTCAGAGCGACCTTGACACCTGCCAGCAGGATGACAGCCTTCTATGTTTAGTCTAGAGAGTCTGAGAATTCAAATTACAGAAGAATTTAGAAGAATCTAATCTCTTTGAAAAGGTATGTTGAATTAACAGATATTCAGACCTCCAACTTTAAAAAGTCTAAAATGAAAGACTCAAGTAAGAAATAAATTTAGTAAGACTAAATTTACAGTCAGACAATTTCTACACATGATCTTGAAAAATATGGCCAAAATATTAATGAGATGTTTTTCAAAAAACAATGTCAATTTGACATCATCAAGACTCTAATAAAACTAAACAAAATAAAAGTGCTTCTCTTGGCTCAGCGCCCATAGTACAGTGGTTGTGGCACTGGCCACATGCACCAAGGTTGGCAGGTTTGAAACTTGCCTGGGCCAGTTGGACAACGATGACAACTGCAACAAAAAAATGGTTGGGCATTGTGGTGGGCGCCTGAAATCCCAGCTACTTGGGAGGCTGAGGCTGGAGAATCGCTTAAGCCCAGGAGTTTGAGATTGCTGTGAGCTAAGACACCACAGCGCTCTACTGAGGGTGACACAGTGAGACTCTGTCTCCAAAAAAAAAAAAGTGCTTCTCACAATCATTTATTTCAACTTGTGATAGTGTTTTCATTTTTGTAAACTACTTCAAAGCCTTTTATAGAAGGAGGCAAATAATAAGTTAAATGAATAAATTAATTTCAAACAAGTATTACAAATAACAGGTTAATATACCATTTTGTCAAGAACATGAGAAAACTCCCGAGGTATCCAAACTGTTTAGTGACTGTATTGCCAGTTTACAGTTGGGTAATTAGGTTTTTTGCAGGGTTATTTGAGGCACTATTCATCTTACCGAGGTTTGTGTCTCCTTTTGCAAAGCCACATTCGAATAGTTTTTTGCATTTTAATGCAGGCTTCAGCTCGATATTTTATTTTGTTTTTCACTATGTATAAAAACAAAATAACAAAATTATTCTGTTTAAACCGGGCATATGATATACAAAAAATTACTTATTTCCAAACATCAATCCTCAAGAAATATAAAACTGATGAACATATATCAGACAAAAACATAAGAAAGTTTAACGTTTCTTTAATTTCTTATATTTTTTTAGACTTATCACTAACCTGAAGCTCGAAATTTTTTATACTTCATAAAATTAAGAGCATATCATGTATATGGCCAGGTTTATATTTTAAATGCATGATTTCCTTATAATGTTACCCTAGGGTTTCTCCAACTGTCCTAGACAACATTTGTTCTACGAAATATGAACAGGTGTCTTGAAAAAAGGATTTATCTGTCAAATTGAGTTAAGGAAAAGCCATGCGTTTCCCTCCCTTCTGAAGATTCGCAATGAACACAGAGAGGAAGGCCTCTGAGAATCCTACAGTAATCTACTCACCTCGAGTTACCCAGAATGTCTCACGATGACCTGACCTTGAAAAAAATTTTTTTTGGAGATAGTATCTCCTTCTGTCACCCAAGCTAGAGTGCAGTGGCATCATCATAGCCAGCTATTCAGGAGGCTGAAGCAAGAGGGTTGTTTAAACCCAAGAGTTTGAGGTTGCTGTGAGCTATGAGGTAACAGCACTCTACAGAGGGCAACAAAGTGAAACTCTGTCGCAAAAAAAAAAAAAATTAAATAAATATCTTTAAAATAATTTTCTAATTTTTTTCCCAAATGTATACTATTTTCAGAATTTCGATCTTTTGGGATTCCAATGTTCGGGATTATGGCCTTTGGGATTGCGTCTTCAGGACTGTGATCGGCTCCCTGTTAAAGACCAGGATCTAAGAAGGGAAGGTGGGGGAAGAGGCTAAAACAATGGGAACCTCATGACCATTAAATACAGTCTAAGAACTTAGACTCTGCCTTCTACAAAGGAGAGACCTAGAAGGCTTTTAGTTTAGAGCAGGACTCTGGGAAGCCAGGAAAATCAGTCTGAGAGCCAGTGAAATTATTATGCCAGAGGTGGATGGAGCTACACAGAGGTCCCACCAGTGAAAAGGAAGGAAAGTCAGGATTTGGAGGAGGAATCGGCAGGACGCGGTGACGGTCAAGACTTCAGGGATAAAACCAGAGAGGCAACTGCAATTTTGAAATTTTGGGTCTGTGTATTGCAGATGCTTCGTAGATGGAAAGAGAAGTTGTGGCTTAAGTCTGTGAGATGAATGGAGGTGTCAGAGGTACAGGGTGGGGGGAGAAGAGAATCAAGTCAGTGGATTCTGTTTTGTGTAGGACACAATGAAATTAACACTCCTATAACACATCCAGATAAAGTAAGTCTTACACACTCAACAAGTTTTTAAAGTCTAACAAACACTAGCTTATCACATACTAGATATGAGGTATTGCTTAAGGACTAGGGACACGGTGTGAATACAAGTCGGTCCCTGGTGCCCAGCCTTCACCTCTGAGACAACTTCACAACACGCCAGGAACCATCTCACTTCTGAAACCACAAAGCCGTGGTGGGAAGGAGGCACCTACGTTTGATGACGGAGAGTGAGCACCACTGCACCTTCTTCCAGCGGCTGCACACGAGCCAGTGATTGACTCTCTTAACCAGCTCTGCCAAGTGGTCAGGGTCAGACTTCATAATCTGGTCAAATTCTGCAAACTGGAAATTAAAAAGATTTAATGTCAGTATTAAACATATGGAAAGATACTAAACAAAGGGAATTCAAGTCCCAAATCTAACTTTCTGAAAACGGTGGCATGCCATTACACAGATATGTCTTTACAGAGCGGATGGCAAACCAAACACACACGCCCACATCTGGCTTCCTTTCTCTTCCTTCCTCAGACATTTTTGGACGTAAGGGAAGCTACTCATTGCTAGGTAGCGGATTCAATAATAAAAGCAGGAAAAAAAGTCTTTCATGACTTAATTAATGAGAAGTTATTGAGAAAAAAATGAAAAAGGACGACTATATCTCTGAATTGGCTCCCACACCTCTCCAGATATCCTTATTAATACCCAGTAAGTGAAGGTCAGCTGTACAGTAGGAGGTACCACATCAAAACTATTCTGTCTCTCCTAACTCCCATCCCCATTTTGGTCAGAGACAAGAAATTGCTACTAAAAAACAGACAACCCAAATAAAATTGAGATTTATTGGCACTATTTAACCAAATCCTTGTGATTTCTACCCTTTGCCAAATTACCCACTATAGTATTAAGGATGTCACACACCAATCAATCAATATAATGCCTCTGTACAGTCAAAGTTAAATTAAAAGTACATAAAAAGATTAAAGAACTTTGAATCTTTGCCTTAGGCCAGTAACCTCATGCCTTGGCCCTTTAATACAGTTCCTGTGGGTCATGACCCATAGGTTGAGAACCGCTGCCTTAGGCTTTCAACAAATCCTGCAGATAATTTTTCTGGAAGTAAACAAGACCAAGTGCTTTGTGTATCAAGCTATTAATTCTTAAACAATTACTACCATAGTAAAGTGTCAAGTCTATGATAAACATGCATGATTAAATTTAAGCCAACTATCAATATTTATATATTTTTTCTGTTAAATTTTCTTCTTGTGTAGAGAATGGTATGGTTCCTCTGTAAAAAAAAAAATATATTCATAGGGACATTTATACATTAGTATTGCATACACACCTTTCATCTGTCAAAAAAACATAAAACCAGATTTATTTATGATGATTAACTTATCTTTCAAGACGTTAGAGATACCTATTAACGATTATGCTAAATCCAGCAAGTACGGCTAGCTATATATCAATAGCAATAATCACGTTAAAAATTATGAAGACACAATTATTCAACGTTAAATAAGTTAGGAATGGTGAAAACAGTATCACTAACAGATTAAAAGTAGCATTTAGATTTCTCTGTATTGAATTTCCTTAGTTATGAAGTATTCTGTAACTCAGTCTTAGTATAAGAACCTGGGAATACTAAAACTATACAGGACCATGTGTTAGCCTAAAAAAATTATGTTACATTCAAAAGTGTTTAAACAATTATTTATTGTAGAGCTTGAGAGAGGTCGGCATGAACTCCAATTTCCTTTTCCTTATTTATATAACTACACTTCAGTGGACCTTGTTCTCACAATGAAGACCCAAAAGTACTGGGAAATATCTCAAATCACTGAATATTTAATTCATATGTTTCAGAAAAGCTTCTGATGTTCAAAATGAAAGTATTTTCTTTCAATACTTAACCAAGTATTTAACCCTTAGTTAAGTAAAAGGTCAACCAAATAGAGCCCTGATTCTAATACTTCAAAAGCTGAATAAAACTGTAAAAAATACATTCAAACATTACACACCGTAACTTCTCACCAGCAAGGAAATCACACACACACATAAGTATTTCATGTTGTTAGTGACCATATAATTCAAGGATAACACAAATCACTAAATACTTAAAAAATATTCACTGACCCTAACTATCCATATTCATAATGTTAAAGTTTAAAATAAAAATATATTTACCTTGCCAGGTCTAAAAAATACTTTGGTTAAGCCAAATTTGTAGTCAATTTCATTTAAGCCCAAAGCTTTAAAAAGAGCCTAAAAAAAAAAGTCAGAAAGTTAAATGTCAACTACTAATTAACAGGAAAGACAACTTTACAGCTAAGAAATTTCAAACTGGGTAGCATCTGTACCTTACAAAACAGCCTTGGATCCAGTCTTGCAAGTTTGTCTGGCATATACCTTTTATACATGTTGTAGAGCTCATGAAAGGAGGCTCGGGATGGAAAACCACCTTGCATCAAGTCCAAAACAGACACCATACCTAGAGTCACAAACACCCACAATCACTGCCAATCATCGTACAGAAGGCCACAGTAACTTTTGAATGAGCAAACAATTTTATAAATTAACATTTAGAAAAGTGAACTTTACAGGAATTATCAACAAGGAAATATTGCATAGGGAACTATAGTATTGATTATGATATGCCAACTTATCCATCACCTAAAACTCCTGCAGTCAAATTTCACCTAAAACCAGTAAGACTAACCCTTTCCTAGAGGTAAACTATTGGTCTCTAGGGAGCTCAAACTTAGTTTGTGTTGGTTTTTTTTCCTGCTAAAAACCTGTGTGTCACAAACACGGTATGTAACAAGGCAAAGTCCAAGTCCCTGAGGTTAATTTTAGGATAAGCTTTCTGAGACAGTCTGCAAAAAGTTATCAAATACATTCCCATCTTCTAGCCAGGACTTAAACAAGGAAACCGGGAAAGAAAAGAGAGTTCCCTATTTTACCGTAAAGACCCCCTTTCACTCACCTCTCCAAGGAGCTCATCTATTGGGATGAAGAGTCTATAGGATGATTATTTATTTGCAGTGTAACTCTAGAAAGTGTTTAATTTAAGTCAATGTGAGCGTTTCAGTGAGAACAGTGTTAACAGGAAGAGAAAGACTCAGTAACTGCGAGGAATGCCAGAATTTCTGCTTATACCACAATCTGGATTTCAATCTCTGGGACTACTCAAATCAATGGAGAAAATAACATTTCCAATAAAAGGTGTTACCACAAACAGCCAGCAATTGGGACAACAAAAATAACCGTAGATCCTTACCTCACTCACAAATCCTTACCTCACAAAATAAATTGTTGCTGTCAAAAATTTAAATTAAAAAAATAAATAAATAAAATTTTAAACGAGTGAATTTTTGAATTTCAATCTATTTGGCAAATGTAAAAGAAAAAATTCGGTAGTACTTAGAGCTGATAACAGTGTAGACAAACACACACATGCATTCTTTTTTTTTTTTTTTTTTTTGAGACAGAGCCTCAAGCTGTCCCCCTGGGTAGAGTGCCGTGGCATCACAGCTCACAGCAACCTCCAACTTCCGGGCTCAAGCGAGTCTCCTGCCTCCACCTCCCAAGTAGCTGGGACCATAGGCGCCCGCCACAACGTCCAGCTATTTTTTGGTTGCAGCCTTCATTGTTGTTTTGGTGGGTCCAGGCTGGGGATTCGAACCCGCCACCTTAGGTGTATGTGGCTGGCGCCTTAGCCGGTTGAGCTATAGACGCTGAGCCCACACATGCATTCTTAGTGGAAGAGTAAACCAGTATAAAATTATTAGATAACAATTTGGTAGTACTGTATTTATCCCATTCGCTCAGTAAATCTATTCTACAACTTTTTTTTTTTGGCCAGGGCTGGGTTTGAACCCACCACCTCTGGCATATGGGGTCAGTTCTCTACCCTTTTGAGCCACAAGCACTGCCCACATCCTACAACTTTTTATTATAGACCGTAGACAAAGATAAGCATGGATGATGTTCAGATGTCCTCAGGACCACTGTTGTTTATAGAACAACATAAATAAATATGAAATAGAAAAAAAACATAAATAAATACGGATTGATTAAATTATGGCACAACTAACCTAATCAAAGAATATATTAATTAAAAAGAACAGAGCAGAATTTTATTTAATCAGTATTTTTCCCCCGATTAATATAAGGACACATGTGATTCACTGACACTGTCTGCTCACATCAGGTCGCACTGAGCAGTTGGGTCCTTCATGCGGGAGGTGATTTAACCAGTATAAAAAGTATATCCAAGACGTTAAGTTAAAGGGCCAACGCTGAGAACTCAGGACTTCTTCTTACTTATCATATTCCGTACTGTTTATTTTTGTTACTGTGAACATAGCAACTATTTTAATTTTAATACTAATTAATGAAACACACAAAGGAAATCATTCCTATAAGAGAAATTCTCCAGAACTCAGTTTAGTCCTAGGCTCTGCGTGGAGAAATTAAAGTTTGGTTGGTACTGTCACAGTGCTCAGGCTAGAGATGGGAGGGAATATGGACATTCAAGGGACTAAAATGAAAGCACGGCTGGAGCACAGAGAGGAGAGAGGCTGAAAGAGACAAGCTGGGGCCACACTGTCTTGGAGCTACGATCACCGACACACACGGACACACGTTATGAAAATGCGGAAATACCTGAACATTGCAGTTGAGATAGAATCTGAGCGCCTTCAAAGTGGTGGCTTGTCATCTTTAAGTTAGGCTTGATGCAACGAATGAAGCTCGCTCCCTAGGAAAATAAAGGGACTTTTTGAGACAACAAATATATTAATAGCATCCTTTTTTTCTATTTCTATGAAGATCAGCAACTTTTAAAGCAAATTAACATAAACAAAACTTTTGTTATTTTTTCTGTTTTTATATGGAACAACTGTTTAAAAACAACTACGTAAAGAATAAAAAATTTATTTAGCACACTTTTATAATTTCAAGCTTAGAATGAATGTTTGCATTATAAAGTAATAATACTTGAAAAATATTACAGTTTGTATTTGAATGCCAAAACAGCAAAAAGGAGAGTCTAACACATTCAAATATGTTAATCTTAATGTACATGTGATTTTATTCTGTATTTAAGCGTCTTTGTATGCTATATTTTTTCAAAATTACCCCATAAAAAGAGGAATAAATAATAACATGCCCTTTAAAATTTAGGTCAAAGTGTTAAAAAGTATTTTCACTCACTCGAATTCAAAACTATATACCACTATACATTTCAAAAGTTTTGTTTGTTAAGTAACATTTGTAAAGGCTTAAAGGCATTCATTCTGAATCAATTATCAGCTTATGCTGAGTGAGGCAGAAAGGATACTGGTGATGGGCACAGTGAGACTGCAGGTACTGACCCCAATACACCAGACATTAAATAACTACTTCTCTTCAGAGTAGTTCCCTGGAAAACTGACTAATTCAGCAATGATGTTCATTGCAAAGACTTCTGAAACACATTTTAGAAATGTCTTCTTTTCAAAATGACTATTTGAAAACAAAAAATACTTGGTTAAGTTCTGTGGATTTGTATAAAATGATTACTTTGGAATGATGCTTCTTTTATAAAAACCACATATTAAATTTATTTCAATGGTGTTTTTATCCATTTCAGAAAAGGGGGGTATTCACTAAAGTATACAGGTGAAAAAACAGGCTCCTAATAAATTCTGCCTTTATAACGAGGCATAAAAAATACTATGTCCATTTTTTCCACATCAACATTGCCATGTCTCAAAAATATAACTACAAAAGTAATAAACTGAGGGTGAATTACATGTTTAATCTTTAATCTTAAAAAACTACATTCTCTCCTATAATTACTGACTCTTTTTTTTTTTAGAGACATAGTCTTACTTTGTCGCCCTCGGTAGAGTGCTGTGGCATCACAGCTCACAGCAACCTCCAGCTCTTGGGCTTAGGTGATTCTCTTGCCTCAGTCTCCTGAGTAGCTGGGACTAAGGGCACTCGCCACACGCTTGGCTACTTTTTTGTTGCAGTTTTGCTGGGGCTGGGTTTGAACCCACCACCCTTGGTATATGGGACTGGCACCCTACTCACTGAGTCACAGGTGCTGCCAATGATTCTTTTTTTTCTTAATTACTGATTCTTAACACCTTCCTGTAACTACAGGATAATTTTAATTTAACAACATTCCAAGAGTTCTATATACTGCTGAAATAATCTGGCTTTACATACATTTGTGACCTTTCTCTACAACAAATCTCATCAAAATGGTAACCATTTAAAAAAAAAATTTTTTTTAAATAAAGGAAATATGGTCTAAAATATATTTCTAATTATTCCAGTGTTACTGTGCTTACCTGGAATATGCATAATTAGTAATCACACTTTTAGAGGAACATTTGAAAAAACAAAACAAAACTATTTTCTTTTTAAGAGTACTCACAGTACTTCGCAGTTTATCCAGAAGCAAATTCAACTGTGTCTGTCAAAGAAAGGGAATCAGTTTATTCCAAAAAGCCAAATCACAGTGTCACGGTTTAATAGCAGATCTCCAGTGTTATATAAAATAACATGCAGTGACATCCGCACACAGCACACCACAGCGTAGCAGCCTCCTGAGGCACAAGCTTCCCACCAGACAGCATCGTGCAAAATGGCTAGCTAACGTCAAGGACAAGGACCTACTTCACTTACACAGAACTTTTTTAATAAAAAGACTAAACATCAGCAATGCTGAAAAGCATATTCACATTTGTGGGTGGGATGAATGAGGAGATGTGCAGGCAATGAAAGTGGGAGTGCTGGGGCTGCATTTAGTGAGTGGTAAATGGCCCAGCACCTGAACATGCACCAACCAGGCGTGGGGTGTGTCACACACCAGTGAGAACCAAGACGGGTTTAAAACACTAGAACTGATTTATGCAACATTTCGCACAAGCAATATTGTCCTGACTACCTACAGAAGTGCTCTTTACTATTTTAACACATTTCATACTTAAACTATTTTTTTAAAATTTGGACAATTTTCTTTAAAAAACTGACAATGAACACTATAAGTTATAGTGCTGTCCTGTTTTTATAATATTGATCCTAATTTTACTCGGTTCACTACTTACATTTCTTTGTTTTACCACTTTGCAGAGTAAATTAATTATGTAAAATTCTTATAACTGGGTTTTACACTGAGATGCTTGTTATTTTTTGTTGTTGTTGTTATTGTTAATGTTTTTATTATTTTTGGTTTGTTTGGTTGGTTGGTTTTTTTTGAGACAGAGTCTCACTTTATCACCCTGGGTAGAGTGCCGTGGTGTCACAGCTCACAGCAACCTCAAACTCTTGGGCTTAAGCAATTCTCTTGCCTCAGCCTCCCAAGTAGCTGGGACTACAGGCACCCACCACAATGCCCAGCTTTTTTTGTTGCAGTTGTCACTGTGGCTTAGCTGGCCCAGGCTGGGTTCAAACCCACCAGCTCCGGTGTATGTAGCTGACGCCGTAACCACTGTGCTACGGGCACTAAGCCTTATTTTGGGGGGGGTTTGAGACAGAGTCTCACTTTGTCACCTTCTGTAGAGTGCTGTGCTGTCACAGCTCACAGAAACCTCAAACTCTTGGGCTTGAGTGATTCTCCTGCCTCAGCCCAAGAGGGACTACAGGCATTGGCCAAACATCTGGCTGTTTTTAGAAACATGGTCTCTCTCTGGCTTAGGCTGGTCTTGAACTCATGAGCCCAGTCACGGCACCCACTTCGGCCTCCCAGAGTGCTAGGATTACACGTGTGAACTACCACACCCAGCCCTCAGATGCTTATTATGCTACTTACAAAAGACAAATTAAAATGTTAGTTTTTAAGTTAACACATGGGGTATTATATTAATCACAGCTATACTTAGTAACAGGTCTCCTGCACTGAATGCTTTCTATGCTAAGCACTACTCAAAGATTTTCATAGGTATTACCATGTTTAATCCTAATTTAGTATGAAACAACCAATCCTGACTAAGGACATATTAGCTTCATTTTTCAGGGTAAAGCAATGAGGTTGAAGGGGATGAATAACTTGCCTGAGATTACTGGAGCTAGTAATGGCAAAGCCACGATTCCAACATAAGCCTGACACCAAATTTCATTCTCCTATCCATGATACCACCACAAACTCCATTTTAATAGCTTAAGTCTTGTCAGTATATATGTATACTTCACTTAATACTTAAGTCTTATATATCAGGATGTATGATGTATATACGTATACTTCATTTAATACTTAAGTCTTATCATTACATATGAAGTATATTACGTATTAAAATGGAGTTTGTCGCTGAACTCAAGAAGGAGAGACACACCCTACTTATCTGGATGACAGAGCTATGAGAATCTTAATCAATCTGGACCCCTAGAATAAGAGCCAATAATTTGGAAATAATACTATTACAAAATCCATGCTCCTTAATCCACAGACTAAAGCACAGTGCTCTCAAAAAAATAGTGATAAAGGCAAAAGAGTAAAAACAGCACAATTAAACTAATAGTAGCTGAGAAAAACAGAAAGAACAGCAGTCAAGGACCATAAGGCATAAGGGTAAACAGCCATGTGTAACTCTTACATTCTCTTTGTATTTTATTCATGTTTATAATAGGGTAAGATTTCCAGCAAAAGGGATAACTATTTCTGAAACACTAACAGTAAAAGGGTATGTTTTATACCCCGAAAATTACTTCTTGGTGGAAAATTTTTGGTCCTCAGTGATGTCAGAAATGTAAATGTCACCGTAAGTAACAGCCAGTTTTGTTCTGTCTTCCATACTTCCAAACTTGATTTAAGGAGCTCTCTACTATATCTAAAATTAAGAATTACTATTAATACTTCATCTCGAAAAACATACATGAGATATTTTCAGTATCACTCAGCCGTATCTTTTCTTTTCTTTTTTTGCTGTTTTTGGCTGGGGCCAGGTTTGAACCTGCCACCTCTGGCATATGGGGCTGGCACCCTGCTCCTCTGAGCCACAGATGCCACCCTCAGCTGCATCTTTTTATAGTCTAAGGCAGTGGTTCTCAACCTTCCTAATGCTGTGACCCTTTAAAACAGTTCCTACGGGTCGTGACCCACAGGTTGAGAATCGCCAGTCTAAGGTAAAAAACACAGTAAGGCACTTTCAAGGCTCCACAGGAAGGATTATTTAAACCTAAGAAGAATTTTAAGAATGTTTTGTTTTTATTGATATTGTCTAAAAACTTAAGTTTTGTTCTCATCTACAATACCACTATAATATTATAGTAGGAAAACACTTCATGAATGATAGCCGTTTCACATAGGCTAATTATACTATTTTTAAAACCAAATGTTATCAAATGCCTAGTCAGAAATTAAAGAAGATCTAAATAAGGGGAAAAATTATTGCTCAGTGAGAGCATCAGGAACTCACAATTAATATAACTTATAACAAAAGTCAAGGCTTTAAAAAAAAAAGTCAAGGTTTTTTATTCACGACCTAAAAATGTATTACGAACTTTCCTCTATGCTTCTGTCTAAGCTTTAGAAAAACCTCTTATAAATGTGATTTTACCATGTTAGCTATTGAGAGCCCACTTCAATCCACAGGGATTTACAGAGGTTCATACAATTAGCAAACAGCCCAGTATTCTGACGTTTAAGTTTTCTTCCTGATTATATCATTTTTAATATTTAAAGTATATATAAAACTATACTCTATGAAAATGTATATGAGATAAATTAATTCTTTCTCTTTGTCCTACATATTATAGTTTGTTATTATAGTTTAAAAACGCTTACGTGTGGCTCGGCGCCTATAGCTCAACCGGCTAAGGCGCCAGCCACGTACACCTAAGCTGTCGGGTTCGAATCCCCAGCCCGGACCCGCCAAACAACGATGATGGCTGCAACCAAAAAATAGCCGGGCGTTGTGGCGGGCGCCTGTGGTCCCAGCTACTTGGGAGGCTGAGACAGGAGACTCGCTTGAGCCCAGGAGTTGGAGGTTGCTGTGAGCTGTAATGCCATGGCACTCTGCCCAGGGGGACAGCTTGAGGCTCTGTCTCAAAAAAAAAAAAAAAAAACGCTTACGTGTTTAAATTATTTTTCCACACTAAATATTCAACAATTAGAAACAATTGGCAGTGCTCTACTTCTAAGACACGCCTTGCGACATTCCTTGTCAGACCTCAAAGAATAAATCCGTGATCCAAAATTAATAAAAACAAATGAAACATTCTTTCATGTTAAATAAGCAAGTTGGAGAGTATGCCACACCCAAGCACATATTTTTTAGGTAAGTTATTAAAAACTTTAATCAAATTTTAGCGGAATATGCACACCCATAACGCCACTGGGAAAAGAAAACGTGTCAGAAGCAAATCACAAACTGAACCATTAACTGGAGACGGGCTCTTTTCGACATGGCAGCGGCTGTATAAACAGGAGTCCGTGAAGGCGGTCATTTACCTGAAGCCCCTGGCTGTGCCTGCTTTTCCTCTCAACTCAACTAGGCCTCTCTAGCCATCCCGAGCTGGACTACTCCAGCCAAACCAAACTGCTGAATGAGGAAGGAAACAGAAAACACGTGGGAAAGAGAAGGTTGGAAGGTCAACCAGACAGGAGGCAGAAGCAAGAACATCAGGACAAGCAACCGAGGTACGTTAAGAACCAAGAAAGAACATATTCAGAAAACTGCGAGCTTTTCTAAATGTTCAGTTACGAGGCCTCCATTATGATATTTTCCGTACAAATATCAGCAATGCAGGGGTTTCTAACAGTGATCTACATTATCCACTTTAGAATAATAAAACAATCATAATAATTAATAAAACTATATTTCATTTTTAATTGCAGAAAAAAATCCAATACTTCACACAAATACCTTGAACTTGTTTCCCACGCTGATGAAGCTAAGTTTCCCTGCTTTTTGTTTAGTATCTTTGTTGTTATTTGTGGAGGATTCAAATAATTCCCGTATAAACTTATCCCTGGATTCGCATATTAAGGATTCAAGAGACATATGTAAAGCATCATTATTTTTCTCCACAAACTGGGTCTGAAAAATAAGTCAGACAGGAATGTTTCAGCCCACCTTGTAACGATAGCCCTGAACAGGGGTCTGTGATGATGGGAACGTCCTCCGTCAGCACTGCCCAGTGCAGCTGCCCCGTCCACATAAACACGGAGCACTATAAGTGTGGCAGTGAACTAGGTGGCTGAATTTTTAATTTTATTAAATTTAAACTTAATTAGCCCCATGAGGCTACAAGGTACCGTACTGCACAGTGCAGCTTTAACACTGAATGTTTCGTCCTTGTGAAAGTTATACTCACAGTCTCATAGCACACTGCCCCTGCAAAATGCCTGATAATGAAGCCTTCGTCATCTCTGAGGTTCCTGTGAACTGCCAGCTTAGATTTTCTTGGAATCTGAAAAACAATACATATTAGAGTTATTAAGCTATCAAAAATACTTTACATAATCTTCCTCTAGAAAACATCAGAGATGAAGAATATGTGAAATTAGGAAGGGAGCAGTTCACATTGCCCACAATTTTACAAAGGTGTTATTTTTTCTTTTTGTTGTTGCTATTATTGTGGCTTTTGGCCAGGGCCGGGTTTGAACCCACCACTTCCAGCATATGGGGCTGGTGCCCTACTCCTTGAGCCACAGGCGCCACCCTACAATTTTACAAAGGTTTTTAAACATCTAGGAAGCCTTAAAGTAGCAGTGAAATCTAGCAAATATTTGATGTAATCTCTTAAGAAAGGTCAAAACACACAGGCTGGGTGCAGTGGCTCACACCTGTAATCCCAGTAATCCGGGAGGCCGAGGCGAGTAGATTATCTGAGCCAGGAATTGGAGACCCACCTAAGCAAGAGTGAGATCCCATCTCTAAAAACAGCCAGGAGTTGTGGCAGGCACTTGTAGTCCTAGCTACTCAGGAGGCGGAGGCAAGAGAATCACTTGAGCCCAAGAGTTTGAGGTTGTTATGAGCTGTGACGCCACAGCACTCTACCACGGGTGACCAAGTGAGACTCTTTCTCAAAAAAATTAAATAAATAAATAAAAGCCAAAACACACACACATAAAACCCAAAAACCCCCTAGTTAGAAGCACATGAAAAAAACAACAGTTATTACTGTTTCTAAAGCAGAGGTTCTCACTTTGGTGCTCTAATAGGGTCACCTGCAGAACTTTTAAATCTCTCAAAGCCCACCCCATTTATATCAGGCGATTCTCATATGCAGCCAGGTAAACACCTGAAATTCTCACCAGGCCTCTGCCACTATTTCAAACCACACATCCTAACAAGTTTACACAATGACCCTGAATCTGTTTCAAGAAAACTTAACCATTTTAGGGCTATACGATTTAATTAAAGTATCTCATATTTGTGTCATATTTAAAGTTTCTGAAATGCTTTCACATCCAGGATCATGTCTGACTCTCAAAATAATTAAAGGTTAAGAAAGATAATCTCATTTAAAAATGAGGAAATTAAACCTAGAAAACCAGTCCAAGTGTGGGCTCTGCAGCCAAACCCACCCATCTTCACCGGTCACACCAGGCATGTCACTTAACCCCTCCCTGTATTTCCCTCATCCTGAGTGTGGAGATAGTAACAGAATTAAATGAAATAACACAAGTGAGTGGATTAGAACAGCGCCTGGCCCAGCTCAGGGCTCATTAAATAGCTAGTATGCTTATTTTCAAAAATATACAATAGGAACAGCCTACATAAATAAGGATTCACTGCTTTCCTCCAGTTCTCATTTGAAAAAAAGCAACCAAAGCCCATTCCTGAAGCTTTTGTTTGTTGTCCTTTAAGTCAGGCACCTCTGAGATCCTGCGTGCCATTTTGTTAACTTAGTAAAGGCAACTGTGTTATCTGCAGTCATAACAAGGAGCAGAGTTAGGACTGGATACATACCTTCAATTTTACCAAGTTTTCTTGAAGATACTTTTTTGTTTGTTTGTTTTTATCTCCACTGAGGCAACAGAAACAGGCTCCAAATTGTAAGAAATAATAAAAGATAGAGGGGAAACTCCAAATCAAAGGAGCAGGTAGTTGTGGGATTTCAGACCAAAGGGAATTACAATTGTATCAGCTATTTAAGTAAATACATTTAATCTATTTACAAGGCTTTTGTTAAGGATGAATGGAAACAAAAATTCTTGTTACCACTCACTTAAGCTCCCAGATCCATCAAAGCCAAAATAATATAAGTATGGGAGGTACTTGCCTGTTAGCTCCCTGACCCCACCAAACAACTCTACACAGCTTTCCTCTCTCTCCTTTTTCTTTTTTCACTGTCATTATTATCTCTAAGATGAGGCTTTACGTATCTTTGCAGTTTTAAGCAACATCCAGATTTCCCTGTGCTAATCAGGCTTTTTTCTGAGCCCAGAGATGGCTGTGCTTGTATTACCTCAGGTGCAATGGTTGCGGGAAAAGACAAACAGCATTAGGTGAACACAGGAAACACCTCACAGCCACCCAGTCCAGCCTTGTGCAGGACGGCCCCACTTTTCAGTTCCGCAGGGATGCAGGCCCCCGGATTCTGGCTCTTCTGAAGGGCCCCTATCGTCGCCTTCTGCTGCTCTTTGAGCCTGGTTCCCCCTCCACTCCACCTAATCCTTCTATTGCTTCAGCTCCTATTTCCCTCTCTGAGTATATTTTCCATGCAAAACTCCCTAGGAAAGAGGATGAAATTGAATTGGCTGCCCACTCTCTCACTGAACTGCCTCCACCAGTCAGAGCTCTAAGCCACAACCTTCACTGCTGGTCTTACAAATGTGCAGACCAGTGGCTGCTCGTGACGCCAGGTACTAACCCCTGGAACCTGATCAGGGTCACATGATGCAAAACAAAGCACCTGACAGCCACTTCGCTCAGAAGGGAGAACACAAAGACAGCAGGCAAACCTCTTTGTTCATCTTGGTGAAATGTACTTTTCATCCAGGGAAAGGGCCTTAATTACACAAACTGTTATGATCAAAACATACATCAACTGTAAATGACCATCTACATAAGATACTGTGCTGGATCGAACACATTTGCTCTAAACCCTACCAAATTTGTGATTTACTTATCTAATAATATCTAATATCCAGTGCATCGTTTTAATGATTTCTCTCCCCCCACCAAGACTCAATTTTAAAACACCAAACTCACAGTGAGGCGGAAATGGTCCTTGTGCTTCTGGTGAACAGCAGACGTAAAGTGCTGATCGCTCGGCTGGGGAAGACGATTTTCTTCATCCAAAATATCCAGTATTCCCACTAATTTTGCTTCAATTAAATCTATTTCAAACAATGGAAACACACTTGAGGAAAAACATAACATTTAACAGGTATGTGAACAAGTCACTGATAACAAATTTCAAGGACCAATGAGAAGCAACAGATCAGATGATTCTGTAAGTAATTCCCTCAAAGGCTACAGAGGAAAGACGGATTTTTATTTCCAATCTAGCCATTTATCAGAAAGTAATAACATATCATTTTTAAGTTTTAGAAAAGTAAGTCCATATAGAAGGTAACTTATATAATAACCATTCAGTTTGTAAACTAGAATAAGAGGCTAAGGAACCAGAAAGTCCTCCTTTTCCAGATGACATCTACAGACAAAGTGAAGCAAAAACACAGAAGCCTTGGCGCACACAGCTCTGTAATAACACAATTAGAAACTGATCTAAATGCTTGTGCAGAACTTCTCGGTAACAGCACATCTTAACGCTCCTTCCATTAATTCATTTGACTTTTCTGCCTGTTCAAAATACATGTAAAATGTAAACTTCCTAAACATAGTATATAATAATTGTTGAGTGGGGTGGAGCTATAGGAAGAGAAATTAAGATTCTAACTGCAGGCTTGGTGCCTGTGGCTCAAGTGGTTAAGGGGCCAGCCACATACACCTAAGGTGGTGGGTTCGAATCTAGCCCGGGCCTGCCAAACAACAATGATGGCTGCAACCAAAAAAAACAGCCAGGCATTGCAGCGGCACCTGTGGTCCCAGCTACTTGGTAGGCAGAGGCAGGAGACTCACTTAAGCCCAGGAGTTGGAGGTTGCAGTGAGCTGTGATGTCACAGCACTCTACCCAGGGGGACAGCTTGAGGCTCTGTCTCAAAAAAAAAAAAAAAAAAAGATTTTAACTGCATTGGGCAGAAAACAATGCATCTTGGGCAATTAGTGACAGTGACAGACAGGGAGGGTTGAACCAAGCTCTAAATGCAAGTATTCTGATAAATGCATTATAGGAGGTGAAGTGAACTAAAAGATAAAAGAGAGGGGAGAAGTCCCAGACCACAAAGACCAGGCACGAAAGGGGATGGCAGGTCAGGGGAAGCTGAGCAGACCAGCTGGGATGTGAAGTGCTTTGAAAGGTTACACTGACGCAAAGCAGCATCATTACTATAATACTGTCCTGTCCAAAGACAGCACATGAGTTACCAACTAGACTTTCAAATCGGGTTTTCAAAACAAGGCTTATCCCACAGAGATGAAATGGAAAGAAAAGGAAGATTGAAAGCAGCTTGGGGCAGAGGTGATGTTTAATGAAAGGTTTCTTCCTGCAAAAACAGAAAAAAGAGCCCCTGCTCTCCTGTGCACAGTATTATCTGGAGGGGACACGCGGAGCTCCTGAGCCGATCCACAGTCAGTCAGAGGGTGCCGCCATACACAGCAGAGACGAAAAGCCAGAGCCCAACCCTGCCACCCTCGCCCACAGCCTGGCCTAACTGTGGACTTCCTCACGTGAGATGATCAATCCCTCTGCTGCCTAAGCAATGGACCCGTCCTCTTAAATAATCCAAGTTACCAAAAACACCCAGCAAGACAAACAGACACTTAAAAAACTTTCAATAAAGCTAAAATTGAAGTCTTTGCAGGGAAAACAACTAAGCAGCACCAAAGAATTAAAACTCTTTCAAACGAGGTCCTATAACTAGTGATGATAATCAGAGCACCAAAAAAACCACTAGTAGATACACATTCACTGTGTCTTCCTGTATTTCTCAAAGACAGAGTTAAAAAATACATACCAATGCAGTCCTGGTTATCCACATAATGCACTTCATTAACACCCAAACCTTCTTTCTGATAAAGCTCTTGCTCCTAAAAATAAAATAATCATGATCATAGATAGGAAAATACTGTGTGATCTGAAAGAGATTCAACGCTTTGTGCTGTTTTTGATCATAACATTTATTAGAATGCAAAGGTTTAATGGCTAGCACAGCACCAAACAGTTTTCTAGAGATAGAACAGCTTTTAAACATTTGCGAACAGGCACTAAAATCAAGGAAAGAGCACTTAACTACAAATGGGCGCTAATACATGCACATGGATATAATATACACAAGGTGACAAAAAAGTATACATAATTAAGAAAGGAAAAAATTGTATTGAAATTATAATGGTTAGGCAGGGCACAATGGCTCAGGCTTATAATCCTAGCACACTGGGAGGCCTAGGCAGGTGGACTGCCTGACTTCAGGAGTTCGACGTCAGCCTGAGCAAGAGTGAGATTCCATCTCTACTGAAAACAGAAAAACTAGCTGGTGGCATTGTGGTGGGCACCTGTACTCCCAGCTACTCAGAAGGCTGAGGCAAGGGGATCTCTTGTGCCCAAGAGTTTAAGGTTGTGCTCTAGAACACCACCGCACTCTACCCAGGGTACAGAGTGAAACTTTGTCTCAGGAAAGATAACATGTAATGCTTAATACACACCAATAACAAAAAACGAATACAAGTCATGTCTGAGCACCTCTTGTAAGACAGAAACCTAATGTGAGTTGAGTATTACAATTTTAACACAGGCTTTTCTTTTCTTAAAATGTGTATACAATTTTTGGCACCCTTTGTATATGAGGTCTACATCAAATGGGAAAAATAAGTGTAATTTAGAAGAACAAATATATAAATCAAAGTTGAGTCCTCAGATGTAAGTCTAGTTATCTTCTTTAAAACTTTTTTAAAAATTTTATCACAGATGAGTTAACTATGCAATGAGCTTAAGTTAATGCGTTTTAACACTGTTTCCTGAACATTTAATTATTTCTTCCAATGAGATCTACTAAAAAGGGTGGTTTCCAACACTCCAGAAGGCACTGTCCACTTTAACTCAATCTGAATTTCAAATTCACATTTTAAAGGGTGTCATAAAAGTAAACGTAAATCAGAGTGGTGTCTCCTCCTTATGAAGTTTCTAGATAAACCTTCTTGCTGGGTTGGGTGGAAGGAAAGCATTAAGTTACGTTAAGTGAAACACACACAAGTAAAACTTCACATGGTAACAGAAGAAGAAACTACCTTACTGGTAAGCACCTGATTTATCTGTTTGTTTATGCCAGAATGCATTTAACTACAGTATATAAGTAAATATACAAAAGCTGGAATGTTCTGGGAAGCCCATGAAAATACAGACATAATGAAAATGTAGGAAAAGATAGAATGGGATGGAAATGGGGAAAAAAATGTGCATTTCAGCCCGGCAAGCGTGGAGAATGGAACTTATAATACAGCCACGCTACGAAGAAGAAAGTACAGTGTATGGGCCCACAGACAGAGAAGGGGGCTCAGACCTGCGGAAGTGACTACGGTAAAATGCTCTGGGTACTAATTTCTTTACCCATAAAGTAAGAGGCTGGACAAAGGACCTCTGAGGTCCTTTTAACTCTACTGCTCCTTCAATAAAACATATCTCAAACAGTACAATGAGAGGAAAGTCAAGGGTACTGGTAAGGACAGGCTGGAGGATATAAATTCAGGGGAAAGAATTCTGAGCCTAATCACAAAAAAACGCAGATCCAAAGCTATCTTTACCTTCCGTACTCTAAAGAATTACAAAGGAACTTTCCTACACTTGGATTCTGAGTGTCTGCCACATCCACAGTGATCTGCATGAGTAGTGGCCGGAAGTTCCCTCCTGGACCAGAGATGGTGCCTGGCGGAAGGCAAGCCGTCCATAGGCTGGCAGTCCTCAAAGTACCGCCCACAGGGGACCCTGGCAGGGAAAGCACCACCCTGAGTCACTCCAGGCCAGCGGCTCCATGGAATCTCCTGAACGGGTGGCTCTGCTGCTACAGGTAGAGAAAAGGTGAGTGGGCAGCAGAAGGGCGGCACAGAGACTAAAGAACGGCAGGAGGTGCCAAGGACAAGGATGAGAGTAGGGAGTTGTCTGGCAGTGGCAGAAGTAGAGACAACAGAATCAGAAAAGGAAACAAGAACTTTAAGTCTAGAGAAAGTCACCAGTCAGAAACAACAGATGATCACTCGTGGGAGGCTCGTACTAGGAAGGGTTAATGGGAACCAGTAACAGTTCCCAGGTGCTCCAGGGACCTCTGCTGGGCTTCCCTGGCCGCCATCCCTTACACCTCACCATCCCTTACACCTCGTCAAAGCCCATCAGTGGGGTAGCTGCAGCTTGTCTCTCCTTGAAATTTAAAGTAGCCTAATGCAGATCTTAAGTTCAAAGTATAATGGCAATTACCTCCTTCAGAATCCTTTCGTTAAAAAATTGCTGAAGTTTTTCATTGCAGTAGTTGATGCAAAATTGTTCAAAACTATTATGCTCAAAGTACTCTGAAAATATAAACCAGAGCCAAGAATGATTATCAGACCAACCTCATATAAATATATCACAGAATGTTACTGTATTAATGGCTTGCTTTTAAATTAGGCTAAACAACATATTTTTGCCATCCTTGTCAGACACCCATACTACTAAGGTATAACTATTCTATATTTCCCAAATGTTCGTATTTCAAGACTTTAAATGTTTAGGGCATTAAAATCAAGTATTAAAAATACCCCGCTTCAATTGACAAAAAGGGTGCTAGCCAGATGAGATAAATGTTATACTCCAAAAGCTACAAAATGTAAGCTACTTACAACAACTTTCTGAAGCAAAGGTATTAGAGCAATCTAAAGCACAAAAATTACTTTAAATACAAGTGCTTTAGAAGACTTTTTCCCACATAATCTGTAAAATTACAGGTATCAAAAATGCTATGGATACAAATTCATTTCTAATATTAAGAGATTATGGCTCGGCGCCTGTGGCTCAAGCAGCTGAGGCGCCAGCCACATACACCTGAGGTGGCGGGTTCGAATCCCCAACCCGGGCCCGCCAAACAATGATGGCTGCAACCAAAAAATGGCCGGGCGTTGTGGCAGGTGCCTATAGTCCCAGCTACTTGGGAGGCTGAGGCAGGAGACTCGCTTGAGCCCAGGAGTTGGAGGTTGCAGTGAGCGTGATGCCATGGCACTCTACCCAGGGGGATAGCTTGAGGCTCCGTCTCAAAAAAAAAAAAAAAAAAGATTATATGATGTCTAAGATCTCTATAGCTCTAAAATTTTATGATTCTGTGTACATTATGCTAAAACTAATACAGACCAGGAAACAAAGGTATAGATCATGAAATCGTAAGTTAGTGATGTGCGTTTCTTTACCTTTGAACAAAAGATAATGATTTATTGTAAATTTTAAAATCTCTATAATGTCAAAAGGAAAACTCTGTCCCTCCTGGAATACGAACACTCACACCTCTTCCTGGGAAAGACAAACAGAGCACAAAGGAGGGACACCACTTGCACGCAGCCAGAGTGAGGCCCACACCAACAAAGCCCAGACAAAACCCACTCAGTTTTACAACACGGTCATTCCAACAACACAGCAGCACTAAGGCGCTGCAGACCCCTTTCCTTTCTCACTGAGCAGCTCTACACTTGCTCTCAATTAGTTATCTTTAGATCTTTCTCATTTGTCAGAAAATTAACTTGAAATAGCTATTTGCTGACAACACTGGGATGAATTTTTACACAGTCAACCCATACCCATCTCTCCATATTAGTCGATGATTTTAATGACTTTATCATCTGCATTTATTATCTTTATTTAGTTGACATTACAGTCTTTTTTCTTAGGAGCTGGGGTCTGGCTCTGTCACTCAGGCTGGAATGCAATGACATCATCATAGTTCACTACAGCGTAAAATGCCTAAGCTTAAGCAATCTTCCCTCCTCACTCTTCTCAACAGCTGTGATGACATGTGAGCCACCAGGCCTGGAGACTTACTATCTTTATGGGTAGCACTCAAGAGCTTACTTTTATTTAACTGAACTCATTTAAGAGTATAGTGATATCCTTAACTATAGTAATTTCAATCAACATGTTTTAATTTTAGACACTGGTCTAAACCCCCTGAGTCTTTGCTTTGTTTATTTAAAGCACTGGCTTCCTATTGAACTCATATTATGAAATGGATGTATGGACATATAATTGAACATCTATCAAGTGAAAGGTATTTCAAGAGCAAACTTTTTTTTTAACTTAATATGTGTGAAAAAATATCAAACTAATATAAACTCACCAAAAAAACTCTACTTACCAAAACCAGCAATATCTAGGACTCCAATAAAATAGGATGATGTTTCAAAAGGAAAACACTGATTTACCCTGTTTACCACATGATCAAAAAGATGGCTGTAGACCGTCTTGGCCAAGGCGTCTCGGGCGTTGTTCGCCTGCTCCACTTTCAGAGGCACCCTGGAAAGGAAGACGATGCCAGTGAATACTCCTTACCGCAGCAGATGTGAAGACAGCACCAGATACCCAGGGCGAGGTAAACCCAAATCTATGCCTTGTGAAAACAAAACAGATAGTTATCCAGGGTCATGTGTGAACAGGCACAGAAAAATGTGGCTAAGTAGAAAACCACGGGAGGAGTTATGTGAAGTTAGACAGAAAATCCATCATTAAGTTAAAGAACTTTAGGCTTGAAAAATCATTTCAACCTTAATTTACACTTCACTTTATACGTGTGTATGCTGAATACATAAAAAATAATCCAGAGGAATAACTGTCCTTTTAAATGCAAAAGAAGTTGTGTTTAATTCAGGATCACTTTAATGACTGGTAAATTCTTTAGATTGTTTAGGAAAAAGATGTTTTTACATCGTAAAATTTGAACTTTCTGACTCTGCTATTTAATGTGAGTAACTAACTGCATGGTATGACAGTATCGGACGCTGCAGGTGCAGCCATTATGCTCAAGAAAATTACACTCTGATGATGAGAAAACAGCATAAAAGTGAATTTCCAAACACCCTGCTAGATGCTACCATGCTGCTAAGCACGGGCCATCGTGCGCTCACCCCTCAAAAAAGTCAAAAAATTTGGAAGGAGCCTTGAAAGCCATTCTGGTCAGCCTGATACTTGAATTTCCTCTAAATAGTGCTCTTCAAACTTATATTTCCTGCAATGAAATCCCTTCTTGGAGTGAAGCAGAAAGGGGAATGGAGAAAACAATACAAGGCCACTCACTGTGCCTCTCCGGCCCTTCCCTGACTCCAGAGCCATCTGTGAGGAACCAAACAACTGTGGACGCTGCTCTACAAGCTCCTTCCAGGGTTTTCTTCACAGTACGAATAGTATGAATTAGCTTAGCAAAGAATCAGGTTAAGCATATCTTGCTAATATATCTGAAAGTGTAAGAGGTAGCCAATTTTCTCAGTGGCTAAAAGACTTTTTATGAAATATCTTTCTTGTCCTAATAGGTTGAAAATTTTCCCCTAAAGCTTCCTGCTGTCTTATTTAGCAGCAGCAGTCCACGACCTTCCTGGTCATAGAAGACAATTTTCTGTGGTCTAGAGCAGGAGGGGAGGGGTTCAGGAGGATTCAAGCACATGACATTCATTGTGCACTTTATTTCTATTATTACCATATTGTAATATATAATGAGACATATAATCTGTAATGCATAATATATAATGAGATAATTATATAATTCATCATGATGCGGAATCAGTGGGAGCCCTGAGTTTTCCTGCAAGTAGAAGGTCCCAGCACCAGCATCATGGCCTCAGTTCCCCCTCAGATCATAAGCATTAGACTCTCCAAGGGAGCCTAAAACCAAGACCCTCACATGCACAGCTTGCAGCAGGGTTCACACTCCTGCGAGCATCTAATGCTGCTGTAATCTGACAGGAGGCACAGCTCAGGCAGTGATGTGAGTGATGGGAGCGGCTGCAGACACAGATGAAGCTTCCCTCCTACACCTGCCACTTACCTCCTGCTGTGCAGCCCTGCTCCTAACAAGCCACAGACTGGTGCTGGTGCACAGCCCATGGGTTGGGGACCACAGGGATAAAGGATCTGACTCCTTCCCCCACAAATGGAGGTAATACAGTGCCTCATAATAACAAGCCTGAATAAAAATTTTATTCTACAGTATCAAAACCAGAAATACATGAGCTATATGACAACTGAGCCAAAAGTATACACATACCCAGGCACAACTAGAAGTTCTTAGTTACTGACTTAAAAAATCTTGGCTTGGCCCTAATTTTCTTATCATGAGCAATTTCCTCTAACTGAAGAATCCGAAAGGTACTGGAAGTTTCATTTGCTGAGTATTTTATAAAGTGAATTCTGCTTAACAGAAGTTTTAGTACACAGCACGTGCATGGAAAATCACTTTAAAGTAAAATGATCTGTTGCTTGAAGCAGTCAAATATTGATTTACAGTATTAGCTCCTATTTTCATAGTCATACAAAAGCAAACCTCTTTTACCTTTTCCAAATCTGCGCCAAGCAGAATATCTGTAAGAACTTTAAAAGCTAAACTGAACCCTATTTATATGATAGATTTCTAGAGTGAGATGCAAGTATTTCAATCCATCAAGCTCAGGTCCTAGATCATTATAATGAAAAGAATGAATTTTATGAAGATCAACTTGAAATCTCACTATTCTCAAAAATGGTTTTTCCCTGACAAACAGGCAGAATTTTAGCAGAGCAATGAGTTAAGGGACTTACTTTATGACTGTGCCCTTGGTGCCCCCTGCTGTGGTTAGCATGACTCGTGTGGTTAAACTCACTCGGAGATCATCTTGGTCCAAACCCAGTAACTCAGCACAGTATTCCAAAGACTGAGTAGACTTATTCTTCAGATTACAACCACCTAACGAAAATATATTTTAATTTTAAATTAGCAAATGTTATATAAACCAGATTTTCAAGACCCATTTCTTAAAATTATACTTCACTTATACAAAACCAGGAAATGGACAAGTCTTTATTTGTTAGTAAGTCTTAAATCTACCTCGTATTTTTACCATCCTTGTCAGACACCCATACTGCTAAGGTAAATGGAAGACCTTCAGTAATCCCTTCAGCTCATCAGTATTTAACTACCTCTGTTTCATTTTTTATGACCTTGTGACAGATTAATGATGGATTACCATCCTTTATAATGTATTTAATCTCTAGAGAAATACAGTATCTTATCATCAAAATTCATATGACTCCCAGAAACTTTAAGCAGTGATTTGGTGCCAACGTTGTAAATTACTTCAGTAGTAATTTGGGCGGGTGTGGATGTCCACATACATGTACATGTGTGTATGTGTGTACAGTAGGCCAGCTGGGTGTGGATGTCCACATACGTGTACATGTGTGTACAGTAGGCCAGCTGGGTGTGGATGTCCACGTACGTGTACATGTGTGTATGTGTGTACAGTAGGCCAGCTGGGTGTGGATGTCCACGTACGTGTACATGTGTGTACGTGTGTACAGTAGGCCAGCTGGGTGTG